AACTTCTCCTTCTTTTTCAACCACAAATTCCCGATCACATCAACAGTAACATTGCATTCTTACCTTCAAAATGTGCACCAAACGGGAGCTCTGTGGCCAATTTTTTTTAAGAAAAATATTGTTTTTTGAAAAGTATATGATTAAAAAGTAGGGATTATTTTTGAATTTACGTATAAAATATTTTATTGTATAAATGTATGGTTGACAATAAGTATTTAAAAAAATTGAAAGAACCAAAGATAAACATGGGCTTAAATTTAAATGTAAAATCACATAATTTATTTAATTGACGTGCTCGATAAATTAATTTAAATACAAAGTTACGTTTCTTAATTAATTGAACCTATAAAATGAAGCCATCAAGATAATGGTAGATAGCATTATTTAAAATTTAAGCCATTGACGGATGTCGGGTACAAGGAGGATACACCACAGATTCACGAACTACGTTGTTAGTTGGGTCCAATGTACTATGTTTGCTATCAGTTATTACTGTATCGTGATAATTATTGAGAAAAAACTGAAAATTGAAACTCACATCATAGCATTATTTAGGGACGTGAGTTGTTGTTCGCGATTATTTTATTTATAGAATTGAAAATAAGGTGATTCATGAACTAGTTGTTAGCTAATTTAGTTAGTTGTGTCAAATGTGTTGGATAAATTATTACATGATTATTATAGGAATAATTGCGGCAAAAATCTCAAACCTTTAAAATACTAGCAGGCTTTTTTCAAACATTTGATTTATTGCAATCGTTGCCACTAACATTTTCAAACGCTGTAAGTGAAGTCATTCTTGACAGTTTCCATCCACAATTCATAAATAGATCGAGTGCACCTCAGTAAAAACATGAGGGGATGCTCGGCTCCGTCCTACAGCTGCCCGAAAAGGAACTGCAGTGTTGATGGTAAATAGCTCACCAGTCAAGTGAGAAGAAAGGGGAGGAGGCAGAATCGAGCTTTTAGCTCCAATGAGTCGGCTGAGCTTTCTCCTTATGAGACATTTTTCAAATATAGGAGGCACAACATAGCACGCATAAAGACAAAGCTCGTACAACCAATCCTTTCCTTTGCTCTCTTTGCACTTCGGCATCCTTTTAGAAGGTGTCTGA